ACTCTATTCTATTCTTGATCGCGGTTGTTAGATCAGTTTCTGAAATCACTTGTAAATACTCTGAGATTCCATAGAATAATGGCATAGATGTACATACTCATGAAGATTTTCTGGTTTGTATCATATCCATCGCAGTGAAATCCTTCATTGTATTGGATCCAAGTTTGACTCTGTCGTAAATATCAATCTCAACTTTCTCCGAGTCAAAACTAATGGGGCAGGGTGTACCTGGAGTTGACCATAATACTCTGCAGCGAATGCTTCGCGAGCTTCCTTATCTGCGTCTGAGTCTCGCTTGCTCAGGCTCGAGAGCGTCGCATTCGGGCAGCTGGGCTGGGCCATCGACACATCAGCAGATGGTGACGTGTCTGGAGACTGGTTTGTTCCGACGTTGTTGGATATCGCTGTAACAACAAATAGAGAAGTAGCGAAGGCGATGGTCAACCACTTTGTGGAGTGATGAAGCACCATAGCGAAAGTGAGGCAGCTCGAACTTCGAGGAATAGGTGCGTGAGTTTGAGATAATATGTAGATGGAAGAAAAAGGCGAAGTCTGACCTGCAGAGATCCTCAAGGTTGAGAACAGAATTGCACTGCCTTGGGATAGATGTGTTCCGACAGAGGGAATAGAATGCTATATATTCATCATCTCGCTAGGCGTTGGAGGAAGATCTAAATCAAAGAGTTGGTAAGAAATAAGAGGTGTTTGGGCTAGGCTTGGACTGATGCGTCGGTGGACAAACATGCACACTATTATTACAAGCAGATAAAAGAGTCATACGGTCATGCGCTCCGGGGAGACAGTATGTGGCTAGTGGACGCACAAAACCGGTTTTCAGTCTGTACGCTGTACAGCGACATCAAGGTGCAAAGGTGTTACGCGCTCGTTAGCGCCCAAACATAATCATCTTGAGCCCGTCTTGAGCCTTCGAACCGAAGTTGATGAGTCCACAATCACTTCATTCATGTAATATAGACGATAGCACCAAGGAGCTTATATTGACCTCTTCTGAGTGTACAAGGTGAAAGTTGCACAAGGAAACGAAGTTGAACCCAAGAATCCAGAAATAGGACTCCCTGAGTTTCCCGCTTCACTGTGACTTCGCCCAGACCTAGAGAATTCATTTCCAACAATCAAGCTGAAGGCAATCAAAGCCTCAAATTTGAGCTCAATGCATTTGGATTCTTTCGCCTGCTGCCGAAGCCCATATATTTCTAAGTGACCTATTTCAAGAAAAACCCACTCACGATCTTGGTGAAAATCACGACTTGCGAGTCAGGCGGTGTAGGAATCAGGGTACAAAGGGATGCCGTATCTGAGAGAAGAAGAGAGAAGCAACGGGGATGTCAGAGAAAGAAGCAGAAAAAACATCAACAAATCTGCATCCGATTCTCCCCCTCATCTCTATCCCGCTTCACACAATTGCAATAATTGTTCAAATTACGAGTCCCGCTAGTGCCACTTGACTTGAGTCTTGGAGTATTCATTTCGATATCCGACTAGAAAAGGATAGAGTCAGACGTGGGGCTATGAAGTTCGGTAGCTGGTGTGTTTGCGGAACCTGGAAGTTGCTGAACGAGTTGTGTATCTGATTTGAGAGATAAGAGATGAAGACGGAAAGGCACGAAAGCAAGCATACCATGTGCCTGCCCTTCTTCCTGTAATAATCACGAAACCACATCTTCTCCCCGGACCCCTATCCTCTTCCCTCATTTTCGCTTGCCCTTTCCTATCTTGCCACTGCGCGGTGCAGACGCATGACTTCAGACATAGATGGGATATGTCAAGCCCACGAATACACGGTTGACATGGACTTGCAGCGTGAGCGTGCGTACAGAAGGTGTCGCGTTCGGAGTGAATCTATAATAGATCGATATACCAAATTAGGTGTATCGCCACTGTGGAAGGTAGTGAGGCTTTGCATTTGATGATGCGGAACACACAAGCGACGCGCTATTGAAGAGGATACAGAAATCAAAGATTGAGTTTTCGAAGAATAAGTGACAAGCTAAAGCAAAGTGCTCGGGAGAAAAAAGGAGAAAAGCAGCCACTGGAAACTTTCCCACGGTCAACAACTCTCTTCGATTCAACAACATCCATGAACGGTCGTCGGAAAAACATTGGACATCCACACAAGATTTTCATCATTCATGCGTGCTATGTAAGACCAAGTGACGACGAGATTTTTCATTTATCCTCAAATACATGGTCATACATCTTTGCTCTTCCTACAAGTGATTCAATGTGTTTGAGAAACTACATGCTCATTTCGGTACGCTGGAGCAAGGAAGATAATATTCTTCTCCGCCTCAGGCTCCATTACTCCCATTCTCCTTTTGCGATCTGATCCCAACTCAATCTTTCTTGATTCCTTGACCTAGAAGGCTGGGTGCAGGAAGGTGTGGCTCGTTGTATTTATATCCTTCTCAATTCACACTGTCACTCCAGGCTAGAAAATTTTCTAGTACGCCGCGCCATCATGATATTCCTTTCTCCAAACTGGTGACAAGAAATTGTCAATTTTTCTCACTGCTTTTAGATCACGATTCATATATAATGTCAGGCGGACAATGTTTGTTTTTGACATCTCGAGTGTTTCCACTGGGCTCTCTCACTCAAAATGTCCACTTCATTGCAGAGGCTTGCGATAGCGGTGGCTCTCTTCGCTGTTGCCTATACAACCTTCTTGATACAACGACGACGTCCAAACAAAACTTTGCTCCATCCTCCCGGTCCACTCACTGGTGAGATGCCAACTGAGAATTCCTGGATCAAATTTCAGCAATGGGGCAAAGAATATGGTACTTCTACTCCTTCACAGCTATCTCTGCTCAGTTACTAACTGATGTCGAAAAGGTGACCTGGTCTACGTGAAAGAAAGAAACATATTGATCTTGAACACCACTCGAGTTGCTAATGACCTCTTGGACAAACGTGCCAGTAATTACTCAGATCGACAAATAACACCTTTGATGGAATTGTAAGTGCTCGTCCTCTTTTTTTAAAAAAGACAAGTTTCTGAGCACCTATGTACACAGAAGCGGAATTCATTATCTGTTCTCAGTCGCGGTTTGTCTTTTTGATTTCGTGGGTCACTCGAATGCTAAGTAATATATTCGTGAAGAAATACTCCAATGAATGGCGTCGAGACAGAAAGCTGTTTTTACAGAATTTCCGTCAAGCTACTATCGACCGTTTCTATCCATATCAATACGATAAAGTCCAACACTTTCTCCGCCAACTCGTCAATTACCCGCATGAATTCATGAAACATACTATGGAGTGAGTGATCAGTTCCTCTCACTTCATCCAGTACTCACAACTGTCTGTCTATGACATTTTTGTGATCAGACTTTCACAATCGCTCGTATTCTCCTCTCTCTATGGGCTTGATGTTCATGCCGATGATCCTTTCTTGAATATGGCTGTGGAGGCATTGGAGGGGATTGGAAAGGTTATGACCCCTGGTGCTTTCCCTATGATTGAATGGTTTCCTTGGTTGCGTTATTTTCCTTCCTGGTTCCCTGGATGTGGGTTCCAGAATTTCGCTGCTCGATGTTTGGTGAATCTTGAGACAATGAACACTGTCCCATTTAATATGGCAATGGAAAACCAGGTAAGGATGTCTGTCTATCTCTTGTCAGCTCTCATCTCGGGCATATGATAGACTGATTGATACTTGCAGAAAAAGGGGTTGAAATCCTCATTGGTCACTGAACTAGCAATCCAGCATGAAGGCGATCCTGAACAAATGGAAGCTATCAAGCGAATGGCACTCATCAGTTATTCTGGTAAGATCCTTATTGGCTTCTACATTGATCGCGTTATCTCAACCATTTAACAGCTGCAGCGGACACGGTATGTCACCCTTAGACCATTCATCATGTAAGTATCGGTACCAACACAATGCATTTTTAGACAATGTCCTCGATTGGTTCCTTTCTCCTCACCTTGTGCCTCCGTCCCGATATACAGAGAAAAGGACAAGAAGAAATAGATCGTGTGATTGGTCAAGACCGATTACCCACATTCGAAGACCGTTCATCACTGCCATACGTCGAAGCCATTTATCGGGAAGTAATGCGATTGCACCCGCCTCTGCCTAATGGTACGTGACATGAATAGTCTCATCGGATATGTACTCATTGGTTGAGAATGCTCTAGGTGTCTACCATAGTACTTTGCGTGATGATTTCTATCGTGGCTATCATATACCCAAAGGTAATGACCGCGTCATCTCGAATACTGTACGTGTAGCTCACGGATGACGACCTACAGGGTGTCTCGTAATCCCCAATATATGGTTCGTCAACGTTTCCTAAGATCCCGATTACCTCTGGATAGAGATTGATGGTTTGCCAGGGCCATGAACAGAGACGAAGAGATTTACTCAAACCCGGACGAGTTCATACCTGAACGTCACCTCGAACGCCCCGGTGGGCCTTTTACGAACATCAACGACATCACCGCCTTTGGATTCGGTCGACGGTATGTGAATGATTATTCTATTTCACATTCTGACCTGATTCGGATTTCTATATCAGAGTCTGCGCCGGAAGGTACATGGCTGATAACACAGTTTGGCTTGCAATTGTTTCTGTTCTGGCCACACTTACGCTGGGCAAGGCGAAAGATGAGAAAGGTGATGTGATTGAAATACCGGGAGAGTATACTACTGGTATGTTCCGGTGCGTACTTTTGATTCCTGAACCTCTCGAGCTATGGGCTCCGCTCATTGGTTTCTCTAGTCATCCTAAACCATATCAATCCTCTATTGCACCGCGTAGCAAGAACGCAAAAGATCTCATATTTTCCACGACATTTGTATGAACGTAATGTTCTCGATGATGATTGTACTGCCAGATGTAATATAGCTGTTCTCTCAATATATGCTTCTATCCCTCGGAAATCGCAATGAGCTGCAGGAGAAGTGCTCCTGGGCCGTCTTTCGTGCGAGGCAAAAGGCTCGTCCTCCTTCGAATACTTACAGGCATAAAAAATTCCGACACGGGGAATCGAACCCCGGGCTATCGCGACATGTCTAACACGTATGAGAGGCGATAATGTTAACCACTACACCATATCGGATATATCTACACCTTCACGCTCATCGAATATCAAGCTGCCAAAGACAACTCACCAATAATCAATATCTATCGTCCTGGACCTCACTTCGCCATCAACATTCTCTCTCTGATACTGGTCTGATACGTTCCACCAATGGTCCTTCTGCGCTTCGCCCCGTCACCGACGGGGCCTTTACATCTCGGAGGGCTCCGTATGGCCCTGTACAACCATCTCTACGCGCGCAAGTTACAAGGGAAATGGATACTACGGGTGGAAGATACAGACACTGTGCGTTTGGATTTCTGTTCTCGCATACGAAAGACTAACGCAAACTGCCCTAAAGACTCGTTCTGTCCCTGGATCCGTGGAGGGTATTCAAAAAGCTTTGAGTTGGGCCGGACTGGATTATGACTATGGTGAATGAAGATGCTCTAGCAGGCAATCTGAATTGACAGTCTATTTCGCTCTAGGACCGGGCAAAGATGGGCCACACGGACCATACTTCCAAGTAATACTGTTACTTCCTTCACGTTCTCGTCCATTCAAGCAACTTTCTAGTCTGAACGACGCGACTTATACCGGTCATATGCGAACAGACTCATAGACGTGTGTATCTCAAACAGCTTTCCCAAAACCTTGAACTCAGTCAAAATGACCTGTAATACAGAGCGGACACGCATACCGATGTTTTTGCTCTGCAGATGAATTAGCGGACATCAAGGCGCGTCTCGCTCGATCCGGGTCTAACAATACGTATGACAAAAAGTGTCTTCATCTCAGCGATGAAGAAGTCGCGAGAAAGGTCAAAGCCGGGGAGAAACACGTCGTCAGGATCAATGTGTGTGTTACGGTCTTCCAGTGAATCGTTTTCGAGAAAGCTTCTCATTATGCTCGTAGGACGGAATCGTACCCACGCGACTTCCGACGCACGATATCGTCTACGGATACGTACGAGATGCTCATCTGTCTCTGGCCACGGACCCTGTGCTGTTGAAGACTGACCAGTTCCCTACCTATCATCTTGCTTCGGTCGTTGATGATCATGAGATGGGTATAACACATGTTCTGCGAGGAGAGGTGTGTGCCCAAATCCCTTCGACCTTCTGTTATTCCGTAGCTCAATATACGGTTCCCTTTTTCAACATAGGAATGGCTTCCTTCACTCCCATTACATCTCGATCTATATACCCACCTCAACTTGACTCCGCCGGAATTTGCCCATATACCTCTACTCTTGAACCCTGACAAGTCGAAGATGTCTAAGAGAAATGGTGATGTTCAGGTCGTTGATTACATGGTATGAGTTACAACCTCTCTTGTCGTATCATGGTCTGATCTCGAAGTTGTTTCCAGCGTCGAGGTTGGGAACCACAAGCCATCCTGAACTGGCTCGCTCTTGCAGGCTGGGGCGCCAAGCACGAATCTGAACAAACCATTCCCTCAGAATCTTCATCTTCCTCCTCACGCTCGCCGTCTCCACAACGTCTCGAAGATGCACCTGATAGTACCCATCTCATGACGCTCTCAGAAATGATCGAGGCCTTTGATCTTTCCGCGTTAACTCATCGAAGCTCCGTGCTCGATGTCACCAAGCTCGAGTATATCAACAAGCATCATCTGATGAAACTGTGGAGTAATCCGGGAGGCTTGGATGAGCTTGCGAACAGGGTACACGGAATTGTGAAGGAAGCTTTCAAAGCAAGGTAGGTGCCGATTTTTTGGGTACACTCTCGTCCTCCATATCGATTCATCTTCTTCTAGTCCATATACCACGGTTGAAAATATCAAAACGGCAATCACATTACTTGAGGCTCGTCAATTTGTCCTTCCTCTTGAAGAAAGCGTTGAACGAATATCCTCTTATCCAGGGCCGACTTACCAACATCCATGATATACCTCTTCATGCTCCATACCTCTTCATTGACCCAGACTGGACGTCGGAAGAAGCTAAGAGCATGATACAGAACATCCCTAGAAAGAAACGCCTGCACATCATCGATGCGTTCAAAACGATCATACAAGCTAATGGATGGCTGACTTTCGAAGCATCGTCTCACGAAAGCATCATGGGTGCCTTGCATCATGAAAGGGAGAAACTTGGTGTCTCGCTGAAGACGTACATGGGAGTGTTGAGGCATGCGTTGACTGGGATGAAGGTATGTGTCGCGTTTATCCGAACCTTTGAGGGTAATCACCGCGGACGCCACGTATTTAGGATGGACCGGGTATCATCGATGTCGTTCGGGCATTGGGGCACGAGCGAACCATCGTGCGGTTGGATGCTGCAAAAGAGTTGAAAGAAAATGGCTTGGACGGTGAAACAAATTGACCGGCTGGGTTCGTGATGAGATCTACAAAAATTTTGCTGTGCATGTGGATCTATGGGAATATAGCATGAATAGAGCACGACACACCACAAATACTTATCATTTACATGAACAAAGCTCATCTCTTCCTATCTTTCCTGTTGTGTGACCGACCTCTATTCCAGTGGATAACGAAGGGTATTTGCCATTCGATCAGTTCATGTTCAAATGGAGTGATACATAGCACTGGTCAGACACTGGATAGCCGTTCCTTGGTTTAATCCAAATAAAATGATATAAGTATGGAACAGTACGAACAAGATACACTCTATCAATAAGATCAACTTTTGACATGGACCGTCGACAACTTGTCCAGGTGAAGCCCCAGTATCTCATTCGCTGCTCGGACACGGCCTGTGTACTGCGTACGACACCTCTCTGCCAAACCCTCAGCTTTCGACCTGAAACTTTCCGCCTCCGCATTGGAACCTGCGACTCGTGACAAAGCTTCTCCAAATTCTGAAGCTTCAGCATGCGGGGCGCTTCGATGACTTCCCCATAACCCAATACCGAGCCACTCGACTCGTGTTGCATAGTCATATGTGTCGTACCATACCGGGAGAACGACTTGAGGAACACCGGCTCTACGAAACATAACATGTATTGGTATCTTCGGGCGCATTTTGGGAGAAGACAAAGACTCACGAAACGGCTTCGAAAAAAGAGTTTGCACCTCCATGATGTACGGAACATATCACTTTGTTGTGCTGGAGGATAGCGAAAGGCTCCGTTTGGAACCAATGCATCACCCGCACTCGTTCCTGGATATCAGCGTCACGTTCGATACATTCATCTAGAACTTCCTGAACGTCGCCTTCGGGACGAAGCTTCCATAATATTTGGATTTTGGGATGACTCCGTAGCAGTGGCCGAAATCCACCTGCGATCTGTTTGATGGCAGAAGAATCGAAGGTGACATGCGACCCCAGATTGACTACGACAGTAGGTGCTTGATCCAACCAGGCCGCAAGTTCAGGATCGGCTGTCTGAATGGGGGCTGTAGGCATGACAAGAGGTCCACAGAGCGTGATGTTGTCGGGTACTACGACGGGAAAATCAAGGTCTGGAGTAGATGGACAGAGGTAGTGTATCTCTGGGTCGACAAGAATAGGTGGATTAATTTCGTCGTAGATTTTACGCATTTTGTCAGCTTTTCGAACAGTTGGGGACAGTCTGATACCCGTTATCAACATGCAGTTGATGAACATGTTGGGTATGAGCTTTGACCAGGGCAGCGGGTAGGCATATCCGGAAGACAATCTGTTGGAATGATGTATAACAGGACACTCGTCAATGGAGGAGCTATTACAGTGGAGTCAAAGCATAACATACGCAGGATATTTCCACAGGCCGTTGGCCCATGGCTGTCGGAAGCCAACAATGTCTTTCGAGGAGTTCGGTGTGATCACGAAGAACTTCAGACCAAGCTTCTTGCATACATCTTGACCGGCTCGGTGGAACCATTCTGCTACGACAACCTGGGGGTCGAACTGATGAATGATATTTTCGATCGCTGTGAGCTGCTCCATATATTCGGACTCTGTCCAAGGAAGCAGCATGCTTGGTGCATAGCGAAAGCTATGTAAAGCCTGCCTGACGCCAGGCCCGTGGGGCGTATCGAGCCTAGTCATTCCAACTGCTTCAATATGTCCGCGACCAGGGAGTGAATGAAATGAGATGTCGGAGAAATGACCCTCATCTCGTAGCTGCTGCTGCAACTGTACAACACGTTTCTCGAGGGGAGCGAATGAGGCGATAGCGACCCTGACACCAGGTCGTGTAGCAAGCTCGTACGCGAGAGCAAGTACAACGTTCGCCTGTCCATATTCGCAGTTTGTGGTAAGCAAGATGCGGTACGACATGAAGAAAGAAGACTAGACGCAAGTATGAGGAAGGGAAAGGAACAGCGAGCCAAAAGAAACTGTATCTCACTTTAAGTATATTTCGTAGGCGCACAGCAGCGCGAACCGCAAGAAGTCCTTGAGTCACAACTCCCATTGCAGGGTCCATCCAGCTCAGTTGACCTCCATTCCGAGATACGCGGCGTTGACCATTATATTTGAGCGGGCGTCAAGTACGCATCAGGATCCCCTCCTAAGTCACTTGTAGGTGATTTGCATAGAACAGAACCTATATATGTCGGAAACCTTATATCCAATTAGACATCGGGCGTCGAGAAGTAGGCACAAGCCTGGATGCATATACTACCCGACACAGTACACTTGAGATCGGAACACTTCAGACATAAAGTGTGAAGTGCGTGACCGTCGCCAGCGAGCATCTCTCAATGGATTCAGAACGTTTCGTCACGAAAGCGATGTGGATTCAAAAGTTCCAACGATAGACTGTGGGGATATAGTGTTGCCCTTGAAACGACGGTCTGTGCTGCTAATGGAAGTTTCCAGGTGCCTGCATGAGATGTATTCAGTCCCATGCCGTTCACAAGGAACAACGAGATGTGTTGCAAGGGATGTGTTCAAAACTCGGGTATGCGAATGCGACCAACAGAGCCTTGACCCGAGATGTCCTATAGACTGGTAGACTAGTTCGCAACGAATCAACTGTTATAAGGACGGGTATCAGGGATCGAGATGTATAGCCGCGACTCGCCATAACAAATCTCCGAAGGTGACCTTGATCCAGTAGTTGACTGCA